GAAAATTTTCGAAATCGAACCTCAGTTCGCTTCGCAAATATCGAAACCTTTCGAAATCGAACCTAGGGTGGTTCGCGACATCCCTAACTTGAATGCAGTCAAAGCCGCGACTTGCGGCAACTGTTAAGTGTACGGAGCTACACCGTTGCGAGCTCGAAAACTTCTAGCGCTCATCCCAGCGCGCCACTTGGAGGGCAGTTTTCTACAGGAACCGTAATATATTTAAACAGTAAAATAAAGGATAGCGTTTTTTTTTCGATTTTACCGTTTTTTTTTTATGCTAAACTTCCATTGTAACTATACGTACTTTCCGTCATACTTTCGTACTGTTCAGTCTTTTCCCCAGAGCGCAATCGCTCTCGGGGACCGACAGTCACATTGGCCACTGTACGATAGGAGCTTACCGTTCAGACCAGCGTTCCAACATGACTATCCACACGTCGACCGACTGCACCTAATCCCTCAAGTGGTTTCAAACTCTTTAATGTAAAGCGGAATGGTCATCCTGTGACACCCCGCCACCTCCGATCACGGCCCGACCAGCGGCATCAACGCCCGACCAGTTTGCGTCATCTCATCTTGTTGTTAAACACCTGATACGAGAACACAAGGTCACATCGGCGATAATTACAGTCTTCTGTTCACAACCCACAACACTGCCATCACGATGTCGCTGACACGCAGAAATACAGAACCACGTTGACGATGTTGCTGACACGCAGAAATGCAGAATCACGTTGAACGCCGGTTGGCACTCGGCACGGAAGGCACCCAGACAGCCGGCAGGAAAATCTGCCTGCCTTGGACGCAGTTGTCGCGATTTTCATAACGTCGAAAACGTCGACACAGTTCCTTGTGGTTTCGCTGCTGTAGTTCCGCGTGTGTCCCGCAAATCGGAGACGGCCGTCCGGCCGTCTTACCCAGTATATGTAGCGCTGCTGGCACTGCTCCGGAACTTCGCTGTTTCTAGCGGCTTCGTTAGCTCCTTTGATAAAATTAGTGATAAAAACGTCAATGCAACCGAAATGTTCTGCACGTTTGGACTAGAAGATGGAATTATAGGCGGCCTTCACTGCCGCTGAAGCTCAATCAACTCAACATTAATTTATTAAACAACGTGCGCGATGTGCTCGAAAAACGAAACCGAAAGAAGATGAATCGGGAGGGCGAAAGCTTTCTCCGGTCTGCCTGGAGTAGGATGAAAACGTCTCAGTGAATTATAAGGACTTTAATTTTCCTTTCATCGGTCTGGGTTTGTTTATGTTTGTTTTGGTAAATAAAAAAAAAAAAAAAACTTTACGAAAAAAAAAAAAAACCCAGTCCTCTGGGGATCGAACCTTTGACCACTCGGCCAGTAGCGCGATGTTCTACCCCTGCGTCAACTGAACAAGGAGAAACTCGCCCTCCTCCTTTGACCTGAACTGCCGTTCCTCCCTTCTGTGGGCAACTTGTCCGCATCAAGGAGGAACAGTCGCTGTTGCTACCTTTCTCCTCCTTTTTTTCTTAGAGTGTAGTGGTGGATGCTCACTCGAAGTGGCCAGAGGTGTTCATCATACAGAACACGACAACCGAGCGCACAGTAAATTGCCTGCGTTAACTTTTTAGCAGATTCGGAATTCCGGAAACAGTCGTCTCAGACAGTGGGCCGCAGCTGGTGTCAGAGGAATTCAAGGCGTTCATGAGGAACGACGGAATTCGACATGTCGTGAGCGCCCCGTATCACCCGAGCACAAATGGCCTATACTCCGTTTCACCTTATATTGTACCGCAGCGAAGGCTAGAAGCGCGAGCTCATAGCGTTGGCAGCTGCCCTTGGTGCACGAGAGTTTGTGCCGCCGAGATGTGCCATAGAGCAAGGAGCTCGCGCTTGTAGCCTTTCCTGCGGTAGAACACATGGTGAAACAGAGTATAGGAGAACGGTTTCGTGGAAACACTAAAATCTGCACTACGCAAGTCGACCGCTGGTGAGTCTCTCGGAGAAGCTCTGCAACACTTATTGTTGGCATGTCGGAATACTCCACGTTCCACAACAGAAGAGACTGCAGCAAACTTATTCTTGAGTAGAAGATTGCGTACCAGGCTGCATGTGATCAAAGCTATGGTAGAGGGGAGAGTGATCCACAGGCAATTTACGTAAAGTAAACAGAGGAGGTAAAGCAGAGAAGAATTCCGCCCTAATGATCACGTCCTAGGGCGAAACTATAGCGGTTTGCCGAAGTGGCTACGTGGCACCGTCCTGAAGATGACAGGTCCGGCATCTTACCAAGTCCAAGTTACTACACCTCTAGGCAAGTTCATCTGGTGTCGGCGCGTGGACCAGCCTCTGAGCCAAGAACGGCCGACGGCAAGACCAGTAACGTCGGACAGGGACGATACTGAGGGGTTCCTGGTCTACCCGCCGAGCGAACCAAGCGTTCAGGCCACAGAACAAGAACATGAGTCACAGCAGCTTCCCGCCATTCGGCAAGGGCCGTCCGTGCCTCCTACAGACCCATCGGTTTTAAAAGGACGTTAGCCGTTGAGAGAACGACGTCCACCTAATAGATATTAAGTACGCTCCTAACTTTTGTGTAAGACTATCGTTGGAGCTACTACGTACTTAAATGGGAAGGAGTGTTGTACAGTTACCGCCAGGCGCGCGCTACTGAACTTAAGTGGCGGCGCGCGTGTTTATCTTCTTTGTCGCTTTTTATTACGTGTGCCCCTTTGGAATGGCACGAGAGCTTCTGTTACTGAATGCTCGGTCCTTGAAGTAAAGATAGTCTTCATGGTCCTTTTGTCTTTTATGTCTGCTGCCCCGTCAAAACACGACACAGGCTGCATAAATATAATAAGCATGACGTTTTGTTTCACCTGCTCAATCTCAAAAAGAACACTTTTTAGTTCCAAAACTTAAAAACAAATATAGCCTTTCTACTTTGGTGAAGAAGGAAGACCAGCGGAGCTGTACACTGGAAAGTAATAACCGGCCACAAGTCGGCAAGCCAGAGTGTAAAAGCTGCCGCCATCTATGAGCGACCGCGGCCACCAGATACCTGGCTTGCCGCCGTCGCTCGTAGATGGCGGTGGGTATCCAGAGTTCGGTGTCCTCATTTCTTTGCGGGGGACACGATCCTGGTGAAACTAGCCCTTGACAGCTACGCTGTAAAAATGAGGTGTGTGTTTATACAGCTTAGAACTTAGTTTGCCTCAACAGGTGACTTATATGTCAGCTGTAGATGATACATTTAGCCAGTGCAGTACAAACCGCTAGCTTGGAGTCTTTAACGTGTATCATAGTGATACACGACCAAAGGACGGTACGATGCTCATCCAGAACGAAACGTGCAGGGGTGGGGATTCAACCCAGGACCGCTGGGTTCTGCAACGCGAGCTTTCACTCCACGTGCTACGAGCAGCTGTGCGCCAGCCAACGCGGCCAACGATGCAGCATTGAAATCTTTATAGACGCTTTACACACGCGCCAAATTACAGCCGCCATTGCTGACCTTCTCTTGTCTTACCGAGATGCCGAGCAACTGAAACGGTAGTTGACGATCCTCTACAAAGGCTGATGCTTTAGGAAAGGACACAGTTGAATCTAATATGGCAATAACCTGGCCTGCTATGGTAATGATGAAGTGAAATAAGCGGATTAAGAGTAAACAAAAACTGAAGGTCAGTTATGGCGGCGTTCATGCACAGCTGCTGCAAAGCGTCTATAGAGGCTCGTATCTGTTTCGCCTCCATTTTTTTAGAGCGCAGCTCTTAGGCGCCCATTTTCTGGTTGAGCGGTGTCGGCGTCGGCGTAACCGCGCGCGTTGCATTATGGGGCGTTCCTCACTAAAGTTAGCGTGAAAAGGTTCGCGCTAAATTTAGCGGGGAAATGTTCCACTAAATTTAGCGAGAAACTTTCCGCTAAATATAAAACGGAAATTTTTCCGCTACACTTAGCAGGGCAATTTTCCCGCTAAATTAGGCGAGAAACCTTTCCCGGCAGATTTAGCGGAAAAGTTTCCCCGTTAAATTTAGCGGGAAATATTTTCCCATTAAAGTTAATGGCTACTTTTCTAGTATCCAGTTGCATTACATTAATGTAAAGCCGTTGAATTACACACTGATCAGGTCAAACTGACAAAAATTGTTTATATAGAATCAATATGCTAGTACAACGCATGTCTTTGTAGTCGCGGTAATGTGTGCGCATTGCTCGATTTCCTAAGTGGAAAGGATGCCCGTGGGCTGTTGAAATTATACGATTGGATTATGAACTATGAAAAGTAGTATGGTGCATATGTAACTCTACTCCTTACCTCAAAGCGACATATCTATATAGGGCATGATTGCAAAGTCACATCAAGACTAGTTTAATCAACTAGGCAACGAAGAATTAGAAACCCTATACTAGTATAAAAATCAAGGTCACGATGACGCGCATAAAATGCTTGTTTGGAAGATGGAATGGTCTTTCTGTTTCGTAAATTTGCAAGAATGACGACTTTTATAGTTTTATAACGAAAGCAAAATCTTTGAGCTTGATGTGTTCGCAATATTTTCTTGCGATATTTATTATATTGTTTTTATTCTTAAAAGTTGATAAGCATAAATTAATGAGAAACAACATGCAGCTTACAGTCCGCGCGATATCACTGTGCAGGGACTGCACGTGCACTCAATGTTCACACCCTCGAAGCAGGGGCATGAATCCCTATGGCATCGCACTCGTGATCTTTGTTTCTAGTGGAATATTTTAATTCAATATATATTTATTTTATTCTAGATAGTCAGTAGGATAACCAGAAGTGATGTAGAAGGGCTTCTTGCTGTTAACTTTGTTTCCCTACTCCTTTGCCTCACTTCCCACTAACCCACTGAACAGATGTCGGTGCAAAACAGGAACTTACGTTAATATTGATTAAAACAAATTACCCCTGCTCCGAGTTGCACTTTTAAGAGGTCACCTTTCATTCACTATCACTGATATGCTAATCTCAGAAGTACTTTGCAATTCGATCGCGGGAATTAGTTGCGGGCAGACTCAGTAGCCGTCGTCCGCAATGTAAGGCTGCTGTTGGCTGAACTCGTTGTTCATAAACTTCTTGTAGTTGTCCTCGCCGCCAACGTCGGCGTTATGCATCCAGTCCAGTTCCTGCGGAAGCCGGTAGCGCTTGTCGGCGATGACGATCAGCACAGGAGACACCCGGTGGTGGAAGATGCCCTGGGAAGATGATGTCCCAAAGCAGTGCGTTCAACGCTATCTATGAGGCAATTGAAGAAACACAAAAAACAGGAAACCTTTCTTGATCGAGCAGTTTTTTAGCCGAAAGTGTTTCTCCAACTACTGTATACTTTCCGACCTATTTTGGAAATTATGCTTTTCAGCTCCGCGAGCCGCCAATTCAATTTATTTGTTATATTTCGGTGGAGCACGAACGGAGTAAAAAAAAAGGACTTGACCATATTTTTTTTTAATTATGACGCGCGTGCAACTTGTGTACACGTGTGCACATTTTTGCAAGCGTATCTGTGTGTGTGTGTGTGTATGTGTGTGTGTGTATGCCGGTCTGCATGTGAGAGATAAAATTTTCTGTCGGGGGTCTGAATATCGGTTAGTAGCGTATTTCGACATATTTCTCATGTTTTCTTGCTTGCTCATTTCTTGAATATTATCAAACTTCTTTCATATAATTTTACTCGCGACGAAATGGAAGACGCGCGTTTCCATAACTAGTTGTGCTCGAAAAATGCGAAGAATTATAAGTGCGACCGAACTGACCTGCTAATCACTTCACAGACGGTGAAAGAGTAGTAATACAGTAGAAGCACCGCCTACAGCACGCTCTTATTGTCTGGCTTCGTGTTTCGGCTGCGTGTGCGTGGAAGTATTATTAATGGCAAAAGAACTTGCGTAAAGGTGCATTCTTAACGTGTAAAAGATTATAGTATGAAAATGATTTTTAATAAATCCTAAACATTTCCTGCACCTGTTTTGTAGAGTGGCATAAGATCATTTTGCATAACTATTCACAAACCTCTTCTTCGTATGCAGGGAAAGGGTGCTTAGAGTATTTTGAAAGTCGACCAACGCTGCCATGAATTTAGTGTCCAAACGCTGCTTACAAACAGATGTTGCCATGCAATCCCCTTGTGAGGCATATAGTTCAACTGCCTATTGATAACAGGGTGGAACTCAATATCAAGCAAATATTTTGACCGCTTTAAACTTCTAAGAACGGGACGACGGGCGGGTCGGTAGGGCTAATTAAACTTGTGGATGGAAACAAGAACGTTGGTTGCTAGTTCGAAGCTTGTGGTTGTCCGTCCTTCTCGTTTTCTTCCTCAAGTTAAACTTATGTTTATTCATTATTCGGTCGTCAATCCTCGCAAAGCTTTATATATCACCTACAGTTTTATGATTAATAATAAAAATGATTTATTATTGCGAATATTTAAGCCCTCCAATATTCAAAATGCTATGAACTTCTATAAATACTTTTTGGTAACTGAAACAATTTTTCATTGTTGTAATGTCATCTTGAATGTATACAAGGAAAGCGCCACGCTACAGCCCTAGCAAAGGGGTTTTAAAGAACTAAATCATATCTGGATTGACAGAGCTCTCGCGCCACAAACTATGACATGCATTTATATATCGTTTCTGGCGAAAGATATTGGTCACACCGCGTGCAATTTCTATTTTTCCTCGCAGAGCCAGCTGTGATAGCGGTCACCTAGTAACGCAAGTGAATTACACGTCTTGTCTGATATGTACCGTCATTTGCAGACATGATAACACTGTCGGCTGATAACCCCCATAAAAAAAAAAGAAAGTGGATCTTTTCTTAACATGCGAGTGCCCAGGCGAAGTGAGATCGGACGCAGGCAGAAAATGTGGTCGTCTGCTGTTTCACGGTAGAAGTTATTTACAACCCGTGTTTCTGTTCTGAAGCCTTATGTGTCGCCATACAGAAGCTGACATCGACCGGCAGATGAAGTACTACGTAGAAGCACATCAGGTGCCGCCTGGCCTTTTCCACTGTTTGTGTGCTGGTGTGCTATTCTCACCAAAGCATTGCGTCATCGTGAACTCGCTAAAGGGCAAACATTATATTATTGGGTGATTACAAACAATCGGTCACGCCACGTTCAATCAGCAGTCAAGAGTGCTATCGCTCTCCTTGACCGAAATCAAACCACTTTGTACCCACCTCCCACATGCGGTGAGGCTTGAATTAACGCATGCAACCTCTCATATGGTATAACCATTTGTGGTCGTTGGAGCAGTTAAAAAGAAACAAAAGGCTGCGCAATTGAGGAAATAGACGGCTGACCTACTTTGCTCTAATTCCCCAATTTAATCCTTGTGATTTTTCGGGTGTTTACTTTCCTGCGTTAGATATTCGTCTCAGGCGAGCAAGAGCACCGATGGCCTTACGGGAAAGCTGAGCCTCCGCACGGACTGCGGTATGTAAATGGGAGCGATGAGGGACTCCTGGGACTCGGGGTCCACGGCGACTCCCTGCACCAGGATGGCGTCGTGTACGTCCGGCGGCAGGATAAAGCGTGACGCGCTCTCCAGGTTGGGCATCAGGAACGTGTCCAGTCGCCTCGTGATCTTGTCCACGGGCCAGGTCTGCGAGAACATTGACAAAGCGTTTCGGGACTGTCTTTGCATCAAGATTACGCTGTTCAGAATTAGGGGCCCGTGCGTTCGGAAAATACCGGTAAACGTTTAAAACGAACCGCCAAGTTGCTTTTATGAACGTAAAAAAAGAAACGAATTTTAGTTGCGCTTAAAAATGAAACACCCAAGTTTCATGAAAAGAAAATATATATCTGCAATGTGCAGGTCCACTTCTCTGTCCGCAAGTTTGACTCTTTATTCATAGAACACCCTTAATCGCGCTCTCTTCGATTATCGGCACCGGGTTCACCTTTGCAAGTATTTGTTGTTACGCGCAAATTACCAGGGAATGGGGAATGCCATGTTCTTATCATATTTTCAATATATGTCCGGGTGAACGCCGAAGATTATTGACACTGATAATTGACGCAAGACTCAAAATTTTTTTTAAAACAAATAGACTCTTAAAAACTTTCCCAAATTGGAAAAAATATGAGCACCGAAAAAATTCACGCAGTTTTAAGAACAATTTACCCCTAAATCACAAAACCCTAGAAATAATGGGGGAGTGATAACCTTTGACAACAAAGTACAGTATATTACGCTTTATTTCAGGTCAAAGACCAAGGTGCAAACGCTAGCATGTGGCCCCGAGAAATAAGTTCAATTCGGGAGCGTCTGTGCATGGCAGGGACGCTAGTCCGGAGTTTGCCCCCGTAGCCTCTTCTGCTCGGACTTCAACGGGCCCTGCAATGATATTGTGTACGAATGTTTTCTACGAATGTTTCTCCCTTTACACAGGCTTACTATCACTAATGAAACCCAAGTTTATTCGCGCGCAGATCATGAAGCTTCTTTGTTACCATATAATTCGAAGGACAAAAGTGGACGTTTCTTTCCGTGTCTCAGTCGCAAAGCTCGATGACGAACTTGTGGGGATCGCTCAGTTGGCGTTGACAACAACGCGATCCCGGGATTTCGTCATCGAGCTTTGCTATCCCCGCTGTGACAATATTTAAGTGCGGGTTCTACCGTGGACACGAGCAGCGATTTAGCATTCGTTTTCGGCTCGTAACAATCAATGCCTCAACATACGTTTGGGTAAGGGCTCGCGCCCAATCGCTGTGATGACGGAAATAGCCGAGCCTTAACGATGTATGAAACTTATCGCGTGCACTGTTTTTCGCCAACCCTAGCGCCTGGCTACCGTAAACACGGGCGACATATAATCGGCTCCCTATCCAGTAGCCGCTTGCTCTGATTTCAATTTGGAGCTGAACGCTGTTCGTTTTTCTCAAATATTTTTCTGCGGCTTTCATTACGTAAATAAAACATTGATACGTGTTTAATAGGTTGTCAATATTGAGGAATAATTCTAAACGCTATTTAACGAATATACAAAATGGTTGAATTGCCCCTTTTGAAGTGATACACAATGTAGAGGATTGGCTTTCGGGAATAATTGATTAAGGGAATTCACCCGCTCGTCACTCAATCAGCTAATTTCGATACACAACCTGAGTTTCAAGATTGCATATCAATATTGATTGCTTTGGAGGTTCATTGTAAAGGCTTACTGAAGGTCGTACAGCCCTTGACCCTTGCTCAAACAGTGGCGTTGCTTGCGCTAGCGACCGAAAAGACAGCAACAACAGTCACCGGGAGAAATGTTCGCCGTATAAAACGCAGCAAACAATGCAAAATGTAGCTCAATGAAGCAGTCGTGAGCCGCGGTTGTCCTGGTGTTCTGGTCGTTGCTATCGTTTTGGTTGCTTCAGGTGGAGCCGACAGAAATGTGCAAACCAGCCTTTCGATTTTATCTTGAGAGTGCTAGAGAGTTCTTTTAGAATCCAGAACCCTAACGGTCTCCACAAATTCAAGCTCATTTTGAGGCAATTTAAATATAAAAATGACTTAGAAAATAAAAGTTAAAAAGAACACATGGTATACTCTTTTTTGACATAATTTGGCAAGCCGTAAACGTAAGTCTACAGTCCAATCGAGCCAATCAGCACGTCGGAGAGTGACACGTCACTCACTAGGTGCGCGCAGTGCGTCGAAAACTTGGCGGGAGAGAGAAGAATGTCGTATTTGTAAAAATTATGAATGAGAGGCTCTGGGAGAAACAAAACGACGTCTGGGGCATACAATAGTGGGTCTGGATGTGAGTTGCTGCTTCCACTCTTCTGTGACTGCTTGGGTTACGCGAAATTCATCTACTGTCTCACCCCCGGCTGTCACGTCCTTCGCCTTCGCCACTCTTATTGGATCGAGGGTGCTATAGCGTTCGCTCTTTGCCGAGTCAAGGTGAAAAGGAATACGGTTCGCACTAGAGGAGTTTCGTATCTTAATTTTAACACCATGACGAGAAGTATAAATAATGTTGTATTTGCGTGTTTTTTTTTGTTTTTTTTTTGTGAATAAATTTGTCAGGACAGTTTACGCTCGATTTATCTAGAATGCGACAAAAAAGTGGGCACCACCAGCTAATGCACTAAGCCAGATCATTTGTTGTTGTTGTTGTTGTTCTCTCCAGCTGGGAAGAATAGCGGCTCGTGGCAAGCGTCATTTGCCTGACACTGCCAAGATCAGTTTTGCCATCAGAATGGTGTGAGTGCAAATTCTGTCAGCTGCACCAGGACGTGTACGTAATATACTCTTTTCCGTTTTCGTTCTGAACTATTTTTCTAAGTAATTTAGTAACTTTTATTTTAGTAATTATTGTTTACTCTTAATAAAGTCAGTTAAGTAAATTTACCTAGTAAATTATACGGAAATGATAAATGATTTTGAAATATTGTGATAGGTATTTTTCATGAGCAAACAATCGGGTAGGAAAAGAGATAAAATGTCAGAAAGGCCTCTGATATTCGCATAAAGGGGGAAGAACTCAAGTGAAGACAATCCAGAGGAGAAGCTATCCTTGCAGGGCACTGAAACTTTGCCGTCTGCCTCAACGACATTTCGAAGTGGAGGCGAAACACGGACCTGTGTTTGAAGTATATTTTTAAATGAGGCTTAGTATCCGCGTGATTATCGCCGGTGAATTGAATGACTCTCGGTGCGCCAAACCTCGCGGAGAGAAATACGTTCCACAATTAAAGAAAAAAAAATCCGAGTTAATTTACGTTACTGCTTGAAAGCTATCACATGCCCTTTCGTTTGAACTTGGAGTGTTGAGTAACGAACTTGCTGCCAGGTGCGGTTGCCTTAGATACAACGCGTGCCATTGCGCAGCCCGCCATATAGCAGAGGATACGTGAGCGACGAAAACGGGCGCCGCGCGGCAGTTTCCATAGCAAGTTGCACGGACGCTGTGTCGTGGGCCTATGCCACACCGGCCGTCACAGCGTCCGTGCAATTTGTTAGGGAAACTGCCGCGCATTGCCCGTTTTCGTCGCTCTTCTGTCTCCTGCTTAAAGGACGGTAAAAGCCAGACCGCAAAATGTCTCCCGCATTAATGTGGAAGGCGGAAGCAACGTCGCCTCTGATGTCAGCGGTGACGTACTTCCTGCAGCCGGGCCGGGACTGAAAGTTCAATATACTGAACTCAGCCGCACAAAGACGAGGCCGGAGAACGCCGAATTTTCGCAGTAGCCAATCAGGGAAAGGCGGTTCACCCTCCTCACCTTTCGCCAACCTTGCGCTGGAGCGGGGTCGGGTAGGGGGGGGGGGGGGGGGGGGGCTAAGAACTTTTTGGGAGTCCTACAAAAGCGCAAAGGGAGGCTTAAGTTGCTTATGCTCCATTCTCCTCCTCGAAGCTGCTAAAAAAACAAAACGCACCCAAGGGGAACCTTTCCGCCCTCTCCCGGCGTGCAGACTGATGCGTTTTCCCTTTCACGCTACATCGCCCCCTCTGCCCGTGGCCGGTGCGCTGGCTGTCTTTTTGCTGCTCCAGACGATTCCGTTGAAGTTGTCCGGTTTCGGCCTCCGGCAGTTATAAAAAAGCAGGTTCCGCTTTCCGAATTATGAGAGAGTTTTAGCAAGTCATATTTGCAGCACAGTTCCGAAATTATGAATGGAGCAGGTGGTTCGTTCCGTGAAAACGTGCGTGAAATTTCATGTATTTCGGAACCTGTCGTAAACCTGGCACAACCGTGTAAACGCTGATGATGATTGTCTTTGACCGAAAGCTCCACCTTCTAGTAAACATGTGAATCATTCTGCTGCGTTCAAATCTGTGGCTCGTGCTTCCGGCGTACGACTGTTTTAAACGGGGCTGTCTACGTAACATCTACAAAGCAGAATTTCAAGACATGCGAAGCTAGAAAGACTAAGAAGTGTCTGAACAAGGGCAGAGGTAGATAGCGTGTCTCCATCATCTTGATCTTGGACGGTCGTTGGCGCTGTGCCGTCGAACCAAAATATTTCGCCTTCTCGCGGTCGCCGCGGCAACTATACAGCCCGGAGATCGCAAAAATTTATTAACATGCGTAGTTTACAGCTTTCACGATCCCTTGCCATCCTGAGCAGTCCTCGAAATCATTTGGTTCAATCTCACAAAAAAAGCAGAGTGACATGTTGGCATCATGGGGATTTTCAAGTGAATGCCAATCTTTGTACATTTTGCTACCATAAAAATTAATTAAAAATAGCCTTATCAATAATTGGATATGTTTAGGTAGTTAGAACTCCACTCAGTTACTTTACTATAAACAATTTTAATTGGCTAAAAAAAACTCTTAAGGTTTCTACTCAGTTATTTAATTGTTTTTGTAGCTCGTATATGTCTGGCTGTACCACATAAAATATAGGACCACTAAACGGCGACGTATAATTGACGTAGTGTATGGAAGCGTGCAATATCTCCCCGCTGCGCGATGCAATTTTACTTTCAAAAGTAGATCGACCGCGGTCGATTCCAGTAGCTACATAACCTAGGTGACACATGCTCTAGGTAAGGCTATTTGTTCTCTATTTGTTGGTCTTGAAAGCAGCATTGAATTATCGCAAGGCACATGCCTTGTCCGGCCCTTTGAAACAAGTAGCTGCCCTGCACTGAAATGAGC